CAATCGCTCCGTCGAAGAATGTCCTCAGAATCTGCCCTCTGCCGCATTGACCTTTGACCTGTGACCTCCAATTTCGGTTGGCACAGTGATGGCTTTTCCTACCATGATGCTATACACCGACTATCACAAGCCTAGGTCGAGCCGTTTAGATTTGTGCCGCAATTCTGCATTTCCTTCCTATACCTTAAGTTAAGGAGGGAATGTTCCACCTTCTTTTACACCTCTTGACCTTTGACCTTTGACCCCCAAATTGATCATCCCGAATCCTTTTCACGATCCCCCCCCCCACATCCCGAATATCGATACCGTACGTCGAGTGGTTAAGATTTGTGCCCAACTGTTGATGCACGCACGCACGCACGCACGCACGCACGCACGCACGATCATGCGATTCTACAAGCTGCATCTGATTATGTCAGATGAGCTAAAAACAGAAGAAAAAACAATCATGCCCAGCATTCTCATCTTCCGCCTAAATTCCTTTTAAGTCTGCAGGAACATTGTATGTATACCTTGCATGAGTACATTATGCTGACCATGGTTATATCGTTCTCGTGTGTTCATCTCACTCACCGACATGGCGAATTGCAGGCATCGCTGGATGAGCTTGTCATGCTTGACGGAGCCGAGCGAGCGGAGGATTCGCACCTTCTCCTCCTGCAGGTCTGCCTCCTTGTGCAGCTTCAGCACGCGGTCAAACACCTCCTCATCGGCGTCACGCAGCACCGTGTGGTACACCTACAAACAAGTGAACAGCAATGCTTGGGACCTGCAGCACCGTGCGGTACACCTACAAACAAGTGAACAGCAATGCTTGGGACCTGCAGCACCGTGCGGTACACCTACTGTGGCTGCCAACCTCTCAAATCACTTGACAAGATCGGAGATTGACAGCATCGTATTTATTCATATCAACTGAACGAATATGTAGTCGTATATGCGGATGTTCTATCGAATATGCGAATATTTCCTGAATATGCGTAAAATCTGAAAATATACAAATTGTACCGTAGATCAGAGAACTGTTAAACTTTTATCATAAGCTACGTTACATATAGGATATATTGCACAATTATGAAAAGCAGCCGAATATGATATAGAATAATAACCCGTAACAGGTAAGGCCAATATAATAAAGCAGGCATCATAACCATTGCATTATAAGCTGGTTACTACATGTACTGTATAACATTCTAGTACAATTAGATGACAAATTAACAAATCATACACTAGAGCTGCCAAACGTCGGCAAACGTAATAAAAGATAAGTTGCGAATATGCACATTATCATAAAAGTGAAGAACACTAAACTCAGAACTATTCAAAGTATTATCCACTTAAAACTGGTTTGAAATTGACATAATTTACAAAGGTTGGATTTTAGCCCAAAAATACGCAGGATGTGTGGCAAACCAGTGCGTAAAACAGTAGATTAATGATTATAGACGGCACAAGGCCACTTTAGAAGTACGGCAGGGCTGAGAGATAGACAACAATCCCCCAGAACGGCACAGCCAAAACGCAAACAAAGAGCTCAAAAAAGCCGCGAAAATCTAACACGAGATCGGCCACAACAAAGGCCTCAAAACTGTAGGTGCCGTCACACCATAGCGATCACCAGTTGCGTATGGTTGTGAATAAAAAATAGTGGGCATAAGTTCCGAACGCAACTCACACGCAACTAATAGGTTTTATAGGTTTGAAGTACGCAACAAGCACGCAGGTGATCGCAGACACACGCAGAGTAAGTTCAGAAATTTTGAACTGTTCAATAATTCTCTGCGAATGCCTGCGATCAATTTATACGCAACAGGTACGCAACGCACGGAACACGATCGCAACACGATCGCAACAGGTACGCAACTCATAAGTTATGAACGCAGGTGATCGCAGGTCCAAATTTGAGGTATCTGGCCAGGTTTTGGTAGCGTACATGTTGCGAATGTGTTGCGTACCTGTTGCGATCATGTTGCGATCGTGTTGCGATCATGTTGCATGTGTAGCATTACCCCAACCTATTATGCATATTCCCAGCGTATCCCCAACCTATTAGTTGCGTGTTAGTTGCGTACTACAGTCTCTACGACCAGCTTCAGGTGGAGCTCCGGAACGAGGACCAAGGTGCATTGAAGAACTTCATGATGATGCCCCCCGAGACGTACGATGAGCTGCTATGGAGAGTTGGTCCTCGCATCACCAAGCAAAACACCAAGTACAGGTTGCCCCTGGACCCTGGCCTGAAGCTGGCAGTCACTTTGCGGCACCTGGCCTCGGGTACCAAGTACTCCGACATGCAGTTTTACCGTTATTACAGGTTTTTATTATTAACAGGTTTTTACCACATGACCGATATTCGCAATTAGCACGCAACTAGCACGCAGGTCCAACGCAACTTGTAAGTTTTGAACGCAACTCACACGCAACTAGCACGCAGGTCCAACGCAACTTGTAAGTTTTGAACGCAACTCAAACGCAATCTCGTAAGTTCTGCACGCAACTCACACGCAACTCGCACGCAACTCGTACGCAGGTGATCGCAGATATTGGGGGATCATAAGTTCAGTTCGCAACCCACACGCAACCCATACGCAACCCACACGCAACCCACACGCAACCCATACGCAACCCATACGCAACTCACACGCAACCCATAGCTTGTATAGGCTAGAAATTGACAAAATTGTTGATTTGGGTTGCGTTTGGTGCGTATAAAAATATTTTTTACACGTAACTCATAGGTTTCAGCATACGCTATGGTGTGACGGGCCTTTAGGGAAGGAAAATCAGTTATATAAATCTGTCATATTGGGGCACTACATACCTCTTTGGTTGAAAGTTTGAAACGGATAATATCGAAATGGCTGGCAGTTGTAAGCGCCTAAAATACACTGCCAGGTGTACAGGGTGAAAGCACTTCTGGGTAGTTTTTCTTCCCGCTTGGTGGCGGTACAAGACGGTAAAATCAGAACGGGCACATTTACACCTACAAATGAGTGAATAGCAATGCTTGGGACCTGCAGCACCGTGGAGGTACACCCGACACATGCATTCAGCATTGCATGCAAACGCAACGCTCTGTGGTAACACTATAAACATGAAAAACAATGGTTGCAAATGCGGTACTCCTACAAACAAGCAAACAGTAATTAGACGACCCCAGCACTGTTTCGCCTCTAGCCACCACACTGATGTTACTTTAGTTTTTAGCTTAAATTACTTCCGTACTATGTCTGGAATAGGAACCGTTATGTACACTATATATAGCATAACTCTACAACAACTAACTACATTAACATCTTAACTCTTGAAACCGTCAACGTCAACCAGGAAACACAATGTATCTGTAACGCCACATAACTACAGCAGCCAGTCTGGTACTAGGCAATTGTTAACATTTATGCTGTAAATATGAATGCAGTATAGCCACTAGATGTCTACACGTTAAAGCCAGTATTTCAAAAATAATTTCCAACCAGTCTCGTCTTTCCCCCGCTTATACGATAGTTACCGTTATTGCTCGAGTAACAGCAACTGTCTAGAGTAACGAAAACATGTCTTAGAACCTTCGTACTTGCCTATATTCAAAACGTGAATGATTCGAGTTTTGATTACTCGTTTTGATTTCCACTGCCATTTCTTGCGAATCTCGGACTATCTCGCGATATCGGCCAATTTAAAAATAGAAACAGAGTAAACTACACAGAATCAGGTGGCCTTTTGCTTCAATTCGGTGCAGTATGGGTGCACTTGTTTTGAAGGCGCCATTTGCAAATTGATTGTCGCTATAATCAAATATGCAATGTGGTGTTACAGCGTGTTCAATTCCAATTTTCTAGGCCATAACAGCATAAATTCGTAGTGTTTTTCCAGCTGGTGTAATCAGTAATATATCCGCTATGAGGTGAGACTATATTTCGCTATATTTTCAGATTGTGCATTTTGAGAAATTATTGCAAAATAATGGCTTTAAACATTGGCGACCTGATCGCCATGGTAAATGTACCGGGCTGCGAATGTCAGCGCCAAGGCAGCAGCTTCCATCGCAGTGACTGTGGAAGCGCTTCTTAGCTTCAGTGATCGTCTTAGAATCTCCACTCTTTGCCAGACACTGCACAACGAGCGAACGTAGCAGCGAGTCCAAGTGACCTAAAAACATATCGTCATAATTACATGCGGTTACAGCATCAGCGCTTGTCAGTGATCATATGCATAACAAACTTTTCTTCCATAGTTACACACGAATGAAATGGAATGTATTAAAAATCAATGCAGAAGGTACATGACTGGCATGTATTTTTATTTTTGTTTCTCACAGAGATATCTTGACTGTCATCAACTCACTCTCGTTTTCTTTTGGGTCCCATCCCATCTTTTCGCCGATTGGTTGATAGAGCTTGCAGACAAATGATCGAAACGCATCGTCAATGTCTGAAAGCATAACATGCAAAAATCCCTGCAGTAACATGCAGAAACAGAATTCGTCACAACATCGTAAATCGTACTTTAGTACATTACAATGTTTACCTATACTATTTATTTAAACAACTTTAACGTTTCAAATTAATCATGCTTAAATTCATAAAATCAAAACAAGCGTTTTACTCAATCAATAATGTCAAGTGTGCTTTGTAGAAACAGCAACTAGGATGAAGCATAACAATCAGGGCCTAATCCAAGCCATTTTTCATACCGAATACCGGCGCCCAAATTACGACCTCTAGCAAAATGCCCAAATTACAAAATTCATAAAACGCCCAAATTAGCAGAGCTATGAAAATTGTGAAAATTAAATCTCCATGTTTCTATCGTTATGTAGGAACTGTTTTATAATAAAACTAGCTGGGCTACCTGGCGACGCCTTTTCCCTTTTTCTCCCTTCCCCTCCCTCCTCCTCTCTTTTTCTCTTTTTTCCCCTTATTATATACATAAATCTACTACATAAATGGGGGAATCTGTCCAAACTCGTTCGAAAATGTAACCACTCATTCGCAGGGGGCGCCACCGCCCAATGAGATTTTATGCATTGAATTGAATTAATTATATTTCTTGTATGCTCCTCTCGGGTCATGGAAGAAAGACATAAAAATTTTTACATAATAAACATAGGAATCATATGAGAACATGAGAATTTGAGAACATTTGACGAAGAATTAAAGAAACGGTAAGATTTAATAAATAACTATAGCACCCGGTGTGACATGACACCATAGATAGTTAAGGTACATATACCCTCATTTTGTTTTTGTTTTTTTTGCATATTTTGTTGGCTTAATTTGCAACTTTTTTGGTGTTTTAAATGGTTGTCGCGTCATGCTGATTCAGAATATATATGGTGTTGGGGGTCACCTCTTACAGGTCTCGAGAAGATAGACGGACAGAGTGACAGACAGATTCCCCCATTTATGTAGTAGATGCTCATATAAGATCTATAATCTATTATCTTAATAAAATTTTAATGTTATTTATTATACATATACGAGCCCTATACCTAAAAATGTTTCGGCTCGCTGCGCTCACCAACGGTCCCAAAATGTTTTTGATGCTCACTGTACTTGCCATGAGTGCCCATATTAAGCAACTAGATTTGCCCCTGACAATGGACATGCAGTATCATATTTTACTGATTGGACTGCCTTGATGGAGCTAACACAGAACACAAAACAAGACAGATAAATAAGGCCTCACCTACATATTGCAGCAGCTTCCTGAACACAGCACAAACAAACGTAACACAAACAGCGGCAAGTCTCACCTGTGTACTGCAGCAACTTGCCCAGTTGGTCGAGATTGTTCGCCAGGTCGTTCCACACCGTGTAGTTATCCTCCTGCTCAAAACTCTTCACAACGTTTAGGAACTCCACCGAGGAAATCTTGCCAGCACGTGCCTGCACCACAAGTCACATCAAGATGCACAGTGACACATGCAGACAGACAAATGAACAAGTAAAGTAGTAGTAGTGTGTAGTAACAGGATGTTACATGTTATATTTAAAATACATTTATAATAAAAAGACCATATTTCTGTAATTCCACTTTACTTATTTATCTATGTTTTCATTGATAATCATGTTTTTCACTTCTCACATTCATACTTTAACATGAGCATGTGTGTGTATGTGAGTGTCCGTTTCTGTGTCTCTATGTCCGTATATATGTATAAATTACCTAGTTATTAACCTGTGCACACAGGTAATATTAACATTAACCATGTTAACACTACCTCTAGACCGTTTTCGAGTGAAACCCATGTGTAGTGACCTACCAGAGCAAACACGTCATTCTGCAGGCCAAGTCGATCACGAGGCGGCAGCGTCTTGTCTTTAATCGCCGGCAGGAGTGTGTCGAGCATGTCAGCACTATACTGTGTGCGATAGACACCATATGTTCCCGGGTTCACCTGAAACGACACTCACATGTAAGTGATTGCTCGTCCAGGTCGACCATGGTCACCATGGTGTCTGTCAGAAAGTGGATAACGAGTCAGTGTTAGACAAACTACTAAACGTGCAGCAGTTAGACACAGTTTTACATTCCACAAACCGACTTACAGCTGGCATGTCTTTTAACGTACTTTTGAATACAGGGACTAACACCGTACATGAATCATTTTGTGGCGAGCTGTATGACCGTATGCCTTTCAAGACCATACACAACTTACCTTGACCCACTCGCCTGCTGACACATTATCCAGGATGACCTCAACAGACTTGACCTCTGGCAGCAGCAGAACCTTCTTTACAGGTGTAGAGGGACTGCTGGCTGTACAGAGACTCACAGGTACATACCAGCTGCTGTCTGTCTCTGCAAGCAGCAAACACAGAGTCAGAGAAGATTTCAACACCAATGTCAGGACAATCATTAAGCGACACCATAGTCGAAACGACACCAACTTCCCTCCCAAAGGTTTGCCAATGGTCATCACAAATTCTACCACATTCGTCCTTTCTCAAAGGTCAGTCTTGACTCGTTGATGGTAACGTTCATTTTGCTTGTGATCGAAACAGTGGGAATAAAATTGTGGGAAAATAAGAGTCCATCGTACATTTCAATTGTGAGGAAACTCACCGTCCACACTGCCATCAGCATTGAATTTCTCCTGCTTCAGCATTATGATTCTCTTACTGCCTTCCTGTCTCTGTGATACCTAGAAAGGCAAAAAGCTCAGACAATAGTAAAATACACATAATCCTGCAGACTCGACTGGAAAGTAGACCTGATCAATACATGCATTCTGCCACCATTCAACCAAGATGTATGTAGCAGTGTGTGATTTTGCTCTATCGTGACAACTTTACAATCACGTTTTAGAACTTACTACTCTGGTGTTCACAGTTCACTTTGTATTCACTGCTGGGATTTTGTGTGCATCGTAAACTTTAGTGCTCATTGCGTTACTTTGTACCTGCACTACAGGGAATCCCATCTGCTTGGTCCATGTGGTCATCATGCGACCGACAGGCTGGCCACTCGATTCCTCGAGCGCTGCCCACAGGTCCTCTGTAAATGCATTGCTGTACTTAAATCTGTTGAGGTAGATGTTCAAGCCCTTCTTGAAAAACTGTCAAACAACACATGAACACTTCATCATACAACGTCTTTCTCACGTTTGTTTATGCAGTATACATTCATTCAACATTACGATTTCAAGAAAAGCAGCTTGAAGCTAGACATGATATAATACAAAAAGCAAATAGTAAAACCTGCACATGGAAAGCTTCTCTCCACTGACAACAACCGCACATCAAGCCTCGCGGGCGACAACTACCCAACGTTGCTATGGCAACCGCAGCTCCTCGCCACCGACATTGCCACGCCTCGTTGTCACGGCGACAGGCTTACCTCGTCACCGAGGAATTCGTGCAGCATGCGGATGACAGAGGCGCCCTTGCTGTACGAGATCGTGTCAAATATCTCGTCAACCTCGTCCGGATGACCAACAGGAACCTCAATCGGGTGGCTGTTGTGCAGCGCATCAAGCTCCAGCGCCCGCATGTAGTCACTCGAGACAAACTGCGTCCAGATGTCAAACTCTGGGTGGCAGTAGTCGACGCATAAGTACTCGATCCATGAAGCAAAACCCTCGTTCAGCCAGAGGTGAGTCCACCACTCCTGCAATCATCACAGGTGAGTTTATCATTCCTGCATATCATCACAGATGAGTTTATCATTCCTGCAATCATCACAGGTGAGTTTATCATTCCTGCATATCATCACAGATGAGTTTATCATTCCTGCAATCATCACAGGTGAGTTTATCATTCCTGCATATCATCACAGATGAGTTTATCATTCCTGCAATCATCATAGAAGAGTTTATCATTCGGGCAATCATCACAGTATGAATGTGTAAGGCTAGTCCCAAAAACAGCTTGTTATTCCTATGGGAGAGATGACAACGTCTATTACGTTTATTTCGTCTAACTGGTTAAACAAACTCTACAATCATAATATATATTTGAGTTCGTTATGTATGTATGTATGTATCTTCCTATAGGCGGGCCAAAACCGCCCAAAGGGATCTGGGATTGCAATTTCCACAGGGCCATCTTCTTAGTTACCCGGGAAGTGTTTCCTCCGCTGAAAAAAACCTGCGCCAAACCGTCAAAACTCACCCGAAAAAATCCGTGAAAAACCCCTCAAAGACAAAAACTCGCATCAAATCATTCTATCAGCTGCTGGGTATTGTTGAAACCGAAACCGATACTTAAAACAGAGCACACAAACCAAAGGAACCTGTTCAAGAGCGCTTACGACTGGCATTGTTTTATCAAGAGGCTTTGAATGAGAAAGATGCCAACCCATTCGTACATCGCTGTTAGAATAACTTTTGTTTAATTTACACCATATATACTTATATGTTCCAGGGGTTTCTACGTTGGGTGTGCTGTCACTGAATAAACTACGTAACCGTTTTTAGCATGCTAGTATTATCTGATTAACGACTTGATTTCTAAATATTTATAGAGATTCACTGATAGTTTAGCATGAGTATCCTATAGTTTGAGAATTACGAATTCTCAAAACTCAACGCATAAAGACGCGTACACAAAGTGAGTAAACATGTTTTTTAATAATTATCAAATTTCCCCACTCGCTGGCCTGTTGTATACTATATATCACTTTTTTATTCATGCTACGATTTCAAATCCATTGTTACCCATTCGAAAGCGATGCCTTTTTAGATGATCAGTAGAAAAAATTCTCTTTATTCAATGTGGCATGGTTGCGCGCCAAGCATCACTGAACATATCCAATGGACAGCAGACGCCCAGCTCGCTGGCCCTGTCTCGAATCTATACTATATACCAATTTTCCTTATTCATCCTTACGATCTGACAATGGGATTAGCTGTACGTGGTGAGGCTCAACAGTTCGAGACGCCAGCAATCTCTACATATTTCCACAGACAATAAACGGCAAACCAATTGTTTATCAAGAGGGTTTTCAAATGAAAAACTGCAACCGCATTCGTACATTAGCTGTTTATAATAACGTTTTCTCATTTACCAGCACCTATTACTATTATGTTCCAGGGGTTGCTAAGTTGGGTTCTGGCTGTCATATAAATGCCATACGTAACAGTTTTTCCCCATGTTATTATCTTATTAGACTGATTTGTAAAATATTGATATTGTGTCAAATGTTATATTGTCGATTTTTAACCCAATGTTCCTATTGTGTCCAATTAATAGTAGTATGATAGTAGCACGATTTTACCCAGCGCAGCGGGTAACCCCGCAGCTAGTCATACCTATATACGTGTAATATTGTGTTTTAGATTGCTTTCGTAAAGTAATTTGACTGGAATATTTTATTGTTTTTATTTGGCGCGATATTCGAAAACCAAAATGGCGATCATTTAGGCGTAGCGCCATCTCTCATCAAGATTTCAGACTTTCAGATCTGAAACATTTATTTTTGCATCAAAACTTATGCATATATCATTATCAGAGTATATAATGGGAGATATGCTATATAATGGGAGTTCTCCCCCAATATACTCTTGCTTTATATATCCCCCCTTCCTCTTCTATCACACCCAAGGTGAGCTACAGTGTCATTGACACTTTCATTTAAATATTATATTTGTTGAATTTGGATTGAGTTAATGTTTGAGTAGGGGCCAAGTCTCCAGTATTAACAGAACCTTTCGTCTCATTGTGTACATGCAATAATAAATTTTGTGTGATGCCATTACAGTGAATAATTGCATCTTTAGTGTGGCGATGGAAAACTGGGCTTAGTGACATATCGTGAGACAGCCTTGCTGATCGACCAGAAGAACTCTAGTTCGGCTACCAAGCAATGGTGGCGCTGGTAGTTGGACATGAACTCGTCACCCAGTGGTTTGGCAACCTGGTCACCATGGTAGGCAACTGATAGAAGCATGTTTAATCTGGCATGGGGGTGGGGAACCTGATGTATAGTCATGTAGTATGACAGTGATAATAAGTCAGAAGAGTAAAACTATTTAACATTTGTTCCAGTATTGTGCATATATACTGGTAGCTATTGTAAAAATAGTGAAAAATTACCTGAGGTTATTGTAGTACAATAAACTCAGCCCTCATTATGATAGCGATGGACTCAGTTATGATTTTCATAAAACTTGCCTATGATTCTCGTAAAACTGGTTAGAGATCACATAACTAGTAAATATCACATTGTTTCATAACTAGTAATCTTACCTGTGATGATTGCAGGAAATGGTAATCTCACCTGTGATGATTGCCCGAATGATAAACTCACCTGTGATGATTGCAGGAATGGTAATCTCACCTGTGATGATTGCCCGAATGATAAACTTACCTGTGATGATTGCAGGAATGGTAATCTCACCTGTGATGATTGCCCGAATGATAAACTCACCTGTGATGATTGCAGGAATGATAAACTCATTTGTGATGATATGCAGGAATGATAAACTCACCTGTGATGATTGCAGGAATGATAAAACTCACCTGTGATGATTGCAGGAATGATAAACTCACCTGTGATGATTGCAGGAATGATAAACTCATCTGTGATGATATGCAGGAATGATAAACTCAGCCTGTGATGATTGCAGGAATGATAAACTCATCTGTGATGATATGCAGGAATGATAAACTCACCTGTGATGATCCAGGAGTGGTGAGTCACCTCTGGCTGAACGAGGGTTTTGCTTCATGGATCGAGTACTTATGCGTCGACTACTGCACCCAGAGTTTGACATCTGGACGCAGTTTGTCTCGAGTGACTACATGCGGGCGCTGGAGCTTGATGCGCTGCACAACAGCCACCCGATTGAGGTTCCTGTTGGTCATCCGGACGAGGTTGACGAGATATTTGACACGATCTCGTACAGCAAGGGCGCCTCTGTCATCCGCATGCTGCACGAATTCCTCGGTGACGAGGTAAGCCTGTCGCCGTGACAACGAGGCGTGGCAATGTCGGTGGCGAGGAGCTGCGGTTGCCATAGCAACGTTGGGTAGTTGTCGCCGGAGGCTTGATGTGCGGTTGTTGTCAGTGGAGAGAAACTTTCCATGTGCAGGTTTTACTATTTGCTTTTTGTATTATATCATGTCTAGCTTCAAGCTGCTTTTCTTGAAATCGTAATGTTGAATGAATGTATACTGCATAAACAAACGTGAGAAAGACGTTGTATGATGAAGTGTTCATGTGTTGTTTGACAGTTTTTCAAGAAGGGCTTGAAACATCTACCTCAACAGATTTAAGTACAGCAATGCATTTACAGAGGACCTGTGGGCAGCGCTCGAGGAATCGAGTGGCCAGCCTGTCGGTCGCATGATGACCACATGGACCAAGCAGATGGATTCCCTGTAGTGCAGGTACAAAGTAACGCAATGAGCACTAAAGTTTACGATGCACACAAAATCCCAGCAGTGAATACAAAGTGAACTGTGAACACCAGAGTAGTAAGTTCTAAAACGTGATTGTAAAGTTGTCACGATAGAGCAAAATCACACACTGCTACATACATCTTAGTTGAATGGTGGCAGAATGCATGTATTGATCAGGTCTACTTTCCAGTCGAGTCTGCAGGATTATGTGTATTTTACTATTGTCCGAGCTTTTTGCCTTTCTAGGTATCACAGAGACAAGAAGGCAGTAAGAGAATCATAATGCTGAAGCAGGAGAAATTCAATGCTGATGGCAGGTGTGGACGGTGAGTTTCCTCACAAATTGAAATGTACGATGGACTCTTATTTTCCCACAATTTTATTCCACTGTTTCGATCACAAGCAAAATGAACGTTACTCACAGAGTCAAGACTGACCTTTGAGAAAGGACGAATGTGGTAGAATTTGTGATGACCATTGGCAAACCTTTGGGAGGGAAGTTGGTGTCGTTTCGACTATGGTGTCGCTTAATGATTGTCCTGACGTTGGTGTTGAAATCTTCTCTGACTCTGTGTTTGCTGGCTTGCAGAGACAGACAGCAGCTGGTATGTACCTGTGAGTCTCTGTACAGCCAGCAGTCCTCTACACCTGTAAAGAAGGTTCTGCTGCTGCCAGAGGTCAAATCTGTTGAGGTCATCCTGGATAATGTGTCAGCAGGCGAGTGGGTCAAGGTAAGTTGTGTATGGTTTTGAAAGGCATACGGTCATACAGCTCGCCACAAAATATTCATGTACCGGTTTTAGTCCCTGTATTCAAAAGTACGTTAAAAGACATGCCAGCTGTAAGTCGGTTGTGGAATGTAAACCTGTGTCTAACTGCTGGCACGTTTAGTAGTTTGTCTAACACTGACTCGTTATCCACTTTTCTGACAGACACCATGGTGACCCATGGTCGACGTGGACGAGCAATCAATTACATGTGAGTGTCGTTTTCAGGTGAACGCCGGAAACATATGGTGTCTATCGCACACAGTATAGTGCTGACATGCTCGACAGCACTCCTGCGGCGATTAAAGACAAGACGCTGCCGCTCGTGATCGACTTGGCGCTGCCAGAATGACGTGTTTGCTCTGGTAGGTCACTACACTGGGTTCACT